CCAGGGTTGGCGCCAGCTCTGTTTTTTGAGCGTCTGACTCTTTTTTGTTTAATTTATCTTTTCGGCTGATTTTTTCTATAATTATCGTATTAAAAACTCCGTTTTATTCATTGATTCATCACCAACTCTCATCAAGATTTTCTTGATTATTCTCTCTCTCTGTTTTTCTAAACTAGCCTTTTCTCAAATACAAAATTCCGCATTCACAAGACCTAGAAACACCTAGCCATATTCGAAGTTGCCTTCGCCTTAGACGTGAAAGGTTTAATTTCTGAGGGTTTGGTCCCAAATCTCTCTTTCAATTATTTAATTTAATTGTTTTGTTTATTATTTTCCTTGAAGTTACTAACGTGTGTATTTTGTAATTAGAAAGAGATACGAGGCATCAAAGTAAGTACTTTAATGGTTTTTATTGATGTTATGATGTAGACATCATGTTTATATTGTTATTATGATATTCCTAGTATCATGTCTAGGGTAATTTTAATATTAAATATGATTGTTACGATGCTTCTTATGTTCTACCTAATATTTATGATTGTTAGTATCATGTTAGGGCTAAAGATTTGATTTTTATTGCTCAGTGACATGCTAGGGTTTGTTATTAATCTTGTTAGTATCATGCCTAGGATCTTGCTATTTTTATTATGCTTTAATATTAGCATGATTATTGTTATAATTGTTATAATTTATAATTGTTATGAATATTATTATTATTATTATTTTAATGATGATTATTTTATTTATGATTATTATTATTATTATTATTATTTATTATTATGTTGCTTGATGCTTATTTTATTGTTATTGCTTGATCATGCCTTTTATGCATGTTTAAAGGGAATTTGGTACTTGTAATCACACTTAATAAGATATTTAATAATCTTGTTAGGGTTAATTGTGATTATATTTCAAGTGATCGCCAATAATAGTTTATTTGTGCATTAATATTCAACCAACATAGATTAAACAGGTTTAGGGTTAATCCTATTGATTGCATGTTAATTGAAAAGCGCACATGAATACGATCAGAATAAAGTAGAGGCCTATTATTAGGGCAGGTTCAATCTCTTTTAGGTTGGATTTGTACCTTCATCCCCAAACCCTTATTTGGTTCTAAACCTTATGGAGTTGACGATCTCTTGGATCGTAAAGGGGTGTAACCTTCACCTCGTGAACGGTTTACAAGTTCCTAAAAAAACTTGTTGGCGACTCTTTTGCTCTATCTTCTTCCCTTTTGGACGCCACCGTACTTTAGTGTATGATCACAGTGGGGTTCAAGCTAGTGGGATTTAAAATCTTGAAAATTATTCCCTACAGCTACCCATTCTGGGTAATTACATACGCGAATAAAACCGGCGTCTAACTGTTTTTGTACTTCTTCTTTTATTTTTAATGCGACATCAGGTTTCATTCGTTGAAGTTTTTGTTTTACTAGTTTAGAAGTAGGGTTCAAGGGAATAGTTTGTTCCGCAATTTCCCTATCTATTCCAGGCACGTCCTTATATGACCAAGCGAACACGTCTTCAAATTCTTTGAGCGTCGATATGAGGGTCGATCGCTCTTCCGGATTTAGAGTTAAGCCAATTTTGACTTCTCTCTTATTTTCGTTAGTTCTTATATTAACTATTTATGTTTCTTCAACAATAGGGTTCTTTTGTTCTCGTTCATTCATTAATTCAACCAATTTATAAATGTTATCATCTTCATTAGATTGATTGTTAGAGCATTCGAAAGATTCAAGAGAAGGCATATACTCGGAAATAGAGCTCATATTATTAAAATCAAAAGAGAGTACATCAAGAGAAGAATCCTTTTTGGGATCTTCGTCCTTAGAACTAAAAAAATAAAGACTTAGTAATGGCCACCAGGCCTAGATTTTCAGCTTCCCTAGAGTCTACTATAGATTCATTGTCCGATTCTTCAAACATCTTCCCTTCGCCTGTGACGATCTCCAGTTTATCACCTTTGTGATTGATCCATTTGAAAGATTTCCTCCATCGATGCTCAAAAGTTTCGTTTGAAGGGGTGATTAACGAGGTTGGGTCAAAGGTTTCATCTTGAATGGCATTTTGATTGGTCATTGTTGCGACATGATTTTGCTCTAGTCCAAATAGCAAGTTAAATGCTTTCCCATCATAGCACCCTAGAGTTGGGTTTTTTTATTTAACAATACTAAGATCGTCATCCAAGAAATAACAATCATGAAATATCTCAAATCCAGGCTTCTTGATTCCTTCCAAAACTAAGGGTTCCGGAAAGTCGTAGCATGGGTAATTTTCTCCCTCCCTAATGAATTGTCCATTAAGGATTCGTTGATAGGATGGGAGTAAAGTGATTATCCCTTTCTTATTATTGTCTCTACGTGCTTTGTTTTTGGCATCGTGAGACTCTAATTATTCTTTGGTTGGTTTATATCCCAATCTAAAGGAGAAGCTTTTCTTTGGAATAGGAAGTAAGAGAGATTTCTTCATTCCTATTCCCAAAGGCATCCCAGGAAAGTAACTACTCTAGAGCAAGATGTTGTTTACTATCCGTGTGGAATATGGATCAAGCTTGAATGGTTCTTCCAAGTCTTCTTTCATTTCGATTGTGAAAATTGGCTCCACGAAAAATCCCCACATGTCCTCTTCATCATTATCATGGTTTATTTCTAAGAGTGATTGATCATTTATTGCTATTTTGAGTGGAGAAGCATGTATAGTCATAGGAAGCCCTTGATAGTTCAACCTAATCATTTGATGAAGTGAGGATGGTATTGCACCAAGCTCGTGTATCCAAGGACGTCCAAGTAAAAGGTTGAATGTAGGTTTTATGTCCATAATATGGAATTCAACCATCTTTTGAATTGGACCTGTGGTAATTGGTAGCTTAACAGTTTCACACACCGATCTTCTCGAATTTTCATAGGCCCTTATGCTTTGTTTTGTTGATTGGAAATCTTTTTCTAGATTTAGGCCTAAGTATTTTGTCGTTCTTAATGGGCATACGTTTACAGCCGACCCATTGTCTACCAAAGTTAGAGGGATGTTGTATCCCTTGCATCCCACAGTTAAGTATAACGCATTTTTGTGGGTAATGTCCTTTAAAGGCAAATCATCATTAGTGAAAACGATTGACTTGTCGGATTTTTCACTAGTAAGCAAGCTAACGAGATCCTGAGGGGTTGTGTCTGTACTTACAGACAAAGCCGTTAGAGCGTTCATGAGAGAATTCCTATGTTCTTTAGAAGTACTTAGGAGTTCCTAAATGCTAACATTCGCCTTGGATTGGCGAAGTTATTAGACCAATGGATCTTCCACCTTAATTGGAGGTGGTATTGTATTTTGTGTTTGACCTTGAGTTTAATTTTGTGTGGTCGAAGGTCCATTTGGTGGTGGTGCTTAGTAGACTCACCCAAAACGAGTTAAATGATCTATCTCATTTGGGTTAGTCATAGGACTCATAAACCAACTTTCTTCTAGGGTATTTGGATGTGCCTCCATTTCAAGATGCTCCATGAGTTGTGCTTGATTCCATTGTTCATCCAAGGAGAGATTCGATAATTCTTGTGATTTTCCCAAGAAATGATCCCAATCAAGCGCTCCATTTGTTTTATTTTGCAAACAAGATGGAGGTGGGACGGCGGCATACTTAGAGACATATAATTCTTGAAAGTCGTCGTCCCATAGTCCACATACTAATTTAGTTGCCCCTATGAGTATTGTGGATAGAGGTTCTCCTATGGGTGTGATATAGTCCAAAGGGTTGAATGTGTCACTTCCCATATGGTCTTCCTCGATGTGAAACACCCCTAACGGGGATGCATTATTTTTAGGTTTAGGCGTGGGAATTCTCCCATCGTCTACTAAATCTTGTATTTTGTGCTTTAAAACATAGCAACGTTCAGTATCGTGTCCAACGCCTCTATGATAAGCACTATAAGCACTACCATTCCATTGAGGAAACCTCTTTTCTGGTGGAGTGGGTGGTGTTGGCCCTGTTGGGGCAAGTAAGCCTTTTTCATTTAGTTTTTCTAGCAATTCTTTATAGTTTACAGGAAATGGAGTAAATTTTCTCTCTTTTGCCCATCTTTTCCTAGGATCATCATATTGATTAGTGTTATTGTATTGTGTGGAAGTCGCAAATACGTCAATAAAGGATGATTCATTATCATTCCCCTTCTTGTAGTCACTAGTAGAAAAAGGCTCATTTGCGTCGCTCATTTATAGTGTATTTGCGTCGCTTCTATGAGCGACGCAACTGCTCGCGACGCAAATGATTTAAAATTCATTTGCGTCGCTCCTAGGCGCGACGCAAATAATAAAGGAGAGACGCAAATGACTCTTCTGATAAACTTCTTGTTTGTTATTTGCGTCACTTGTTTATATAGGAGTGACGCAAATGACTGACTAGACAATACAAAATTGCTTTATTTGCGTCACTTGTTTGTTTAATGAGTGACGCAAATGAGGTGAATTTTTTTTAATTATAATAATTGCCTTGTATATGTTTGTAGTACCTGTTTTCCTTGCTAGTGGTATAAAGTAATATGCTAACGCTAATATAATTGAAATTAAAATGCAATATTATTGAATAATGCAAATGTAAATTTCGGCAGAGTCTCCTTTGTAATTTGGCCTACCCATAAAATTGGGTTTGATGGCATTATATAAACAACCTGTCCAATAATTTACATCTCAATATCATAGACATTATACTCATCATCCCAACACCAATTAACCAAAATCATTCATGTCAAGCCTATAATCCAAAACAAGAGTCCAACATGCGCTAAGTGTAAATCTAAAGTTCAACATTACATATAAAATACTCTGCCCAAATATCTCGAATCTCATTTATCTCCTCCTCGGTGTACGGTGTAGTTCTTGAAAAATCCTATCAACACAACAAATATACAAGAGGAAAGTTTTAATTCAAGATTGTAGCTAACATCAAATTGTATTTATCAAACAAAAATGAAATATTTGACAACTCATACCTGAATAAGATCCTCAATGCTATAATGCATGATGTTCAAGTATTTCGTACATATAACGCATGACGTAGTAGCCACACTCACGTCCACCCAATTGTTGAGGACACTACATGTAATATATTTATAAGTTGAATTAAATTGCTATACTTAAATTATTAAGAAACTAAAAGTTAGGGTAAGAAATTAAGGTAACCTGTCCCAAATGCCATGTCAATTTACTTCCCCTAGATTGTCCACTTAATGCCTTAAAACTTCGAAAAGCACTACACATTTGAAACAAATAACATATATATTATCCTTACACACATAAAATCATGACATTAATAACAAACTAGACTTACTTTGTCATTGCAAACTTAATTACTAAATTTCGCTTCTGCCTCAAAGAATCAAAGATGATGACTTCACGCTTAGCCATGCATAAGACCAAAAGAACCCAATGATTCCTACATAATAAATTAGACACACTTTGTAAAAGAGTAAAATAATATCAACAATTTACAAAGTTCAAATAAATACAAGTTCAAATTTTATACTTTTCATGGTATGGGCATAAGATGAACTGCTTAGATTTTTGTTTTTCCATCACATGTGTCATGTATAGTAGGATACGATTTGCATCACTATGCAAATAGGTTTCTGAAATCATTTCCGGACACATGAATCCAATGGAAGCCACATCCACGGTATCGAGTAAGTCACTCAAGGCCCTACATATATATCATGTAATAACATTATAAATGGTAATAAATAAGTATATATGCATATTCCTTCGGCATATTCCTGGTACATGTGATCCAACCACTGACCAATTTTGTTTTAAAATCTCTCCAAGTTTTATCACAAGTGCGTACGACCTTTTTTTTGTTGCCTTCATCTTCTTCGATTTGAAACTCTTTCTACAAAAAAAATTAAAAAAATAAAAAAAAGTTAGTAAATAATTTCATCATATTCAAATAAATTGTTTTCATCATATTCAAATAATGTCAAAATGATCATATAACAGTATAACATTTAACATTTAATAGTGAATACTACCTTAACATCTTCCCAAAAAGTGTCTTTTATTCCTTGTGGAACTTGATTCCAATATTTATACAATATAGACACCTTTGCACGGCTTATTTCACCAAGATGAGTTTTGTATGCTTTTGCCCACTTTCCAATGGGTCGACACAATTCATCCCATTCAAGCACTCTAGGAACCTCAGGCATGGATTTCAGGCCCTTTGAAGGACCTCTTGGCTTCTTTTTCTTCTTCTGAGAGTCGGTTGTTTGTTGCTCTGATTGTGATTGATTGTGTGGCTCATCTTCCACACCTTGCAAAGACATGGAACGATTATGCATATCCTCATCATCCATTATTACTTACCTGAAAAAAAAAAGACATAAATAAATTAAGACATCGATTTGTATCATTTTTAAATTATAAACTTGTACACATAACAATAATAAGCAATTTATGCAAATAATAACACATATTGGAAAAAAAAAATCACAGAATTCATACCTACTTCATTCTTCTCTTTTGCGACATAAAATCCTTCATTATGATCTTTTCGTTTCAACGTTGTGTCAAAATCATCGTCTATTGGAGGGATGCTCCAAACGGAAGGTGGTGACTCATTAAATTGCTCATCATATTCATGCTCGTCCACCACATCTTCAATGCCAAGTATCCTTCTTTACCTTCTAAAACAACTGACCACTTACAATCAGCTGGGTCAGCCATGTAAAAAACTTGTTTTGCTTGTGAAGCTAATATAAATGGATCAGCTAGATGCCCTCGTCGACCAAGATTTACAAGGGTCAAGTTCCCTTGTTCATCTTTTGTTACACCACGGCTACTATCAGCCCACTTACATCGAAATAGAGGAATCTTGAAATCAATACCTCATGTTTTATCAAAACTACCTAGTATTTTGAATACATGATGTCCAACCGTCCTTTCGAACTTAGTTATAAAAGTCATTTATGAGAATTGTATTTTAGAAATGATTTTCCTGTCTTTGATAACTATTCTCAAGGATTTCCTTTACCAATCATGGAAACAATATTATTTGATTTAGAATACTATAAATATAAGTGCAAAGTATAACCATTTATCAAGAACATAAATTCAATATTAAACGTCTTATTTACGCATAAAAATTGTCCCTATTTGGCGAAAATAAGGCGATTCTAAGATTCAAAGAAACAAAGAGTGGTTAAGCATGCTTTGGCTTGTCTTAACACTCAATCTTCTAAGGTAAGCATTGCCTTGCTAATGGCTCTAAGCCACTCTTGGTTAGATAATCGTCGCATGTAATGCATCTTTGACGATGTATCTCTTTTGCCACGGTATGTGAGGACTCCTCACTCATACCGATGAGTTAAACAAAAACCAACGTGCACACCCGGTGTGCCTTATGAGCCTTGGAGAAGTGATGGCACCTCGCTTTGGCGTAGCCCACCATCACCCTCATTCGGTTGGTAAGTGTTGTTTGGGAAAGACAAGTTTGACTCAATATTATTAGGGACCTAGGATTTCTATGTTGGTTGATTTAAGTGAACTTAACTAATAATCGCAACATAAAGAAAACCTAAACATGCATCTAACGAATAATTCACATGTATATAAGCATAAAATATAAAGCGAAATTATAGATGCATATTGGCAACTAGCATGACCCCTTGAATTCTTCAAGTATTCAAAAGGTCTTCATTTGCAATTCAAGGCTTTGTCTTCCAAGATACGCCGTCTTCAAGACTTAACCAAACTATGCAAATACTAGTGTCTACGACTAGGAATAATCTAAATATTAAGGTACAAAAATACTCAACGGTGCGTAGACCGTATTTAGATTTACAAAAATACATAACGGCACATAGTCTGTATTTTCTATCCTAATCGGGTCCCACTAGTTGCCATTTCATAAAACCTATGAGAGAGAATATATATTCCATTCATCCATTCACTATTTGTGAATGGCCCATGCAATTTACAATATTAAACAAGTAAAATGCATTTAAACAACGCGCGCACTAGTAACTAATCTAGGTGGTTAATCCGATTAACACGCCTAATTAAAACTAGTCAAAGTTGTTTAACCGATTATGTAATTGACGTCATTAATAATTGAAGCTCCCACTAAATTCCGCATTTCCCTTAATTAATCCAATTAATTAAGTCAGTAGCACCCAAACTTGTCAAAATAAAATTTTGTCAATGCCGCTCAAAATCGAGGCCTAGCCTCCTAAAATTTTAATTAAAATAATTAAAATTAATTAAAATAAATAAAACAGCAAAATAAGCAATATTAAGCCAACCGCATTTCAAGTGGCTTTCGCTTTAAGCGTTTTGCCAAGAAAACTCGAATAATCGCGGCTCATGCAAACCAAGCATACTACGGCTATTCACCTCACCGCACCAAGCATATGCACACACAAAAACTCCGCACACACGGCCCGCGGCAAGCAGCCATGGGCTGCTGCGGCCGTGTGCTGCTGCCGCGTGTGTGGCCGCACGCAAGGCGGGGCAGCCACCTGGCTAGCCTAGTGTGGTTCTTTGCCTCGTTTTGCGTGCCATGGCCTCGGGATTTAATCCCATTTCGCGAGACATAATTAATTAATTCTAAATTAATTTTAGAACTAACTTAATGAGCAAAAATGAAAAAATTTTAAACATGTCCAACTTAATAAAATTTCAAAGTGCAAATAATCAAAATAATTCCAAGAACCATTCTTAATTAAATTGGTTTAGCTTGGTGCAATAACAAAGTTGAGGCAATTTCTCACTTTTAATTTAATCAATTTAAATTAAACTTGAGAATTTGAAAAAGTAAGGGGAAGTTGGAAAAATATGAACTTTAATGTTCAAATGAAAATTCCAACATCTAAATTTTGTGAATCCTTGAAAATTATATCATCCAACATGAAGATAACCAAATTTCTATCACAAAAATTGAAACTTTATGTTTCCAATCAACTCAAAATGATTAAAACAACAAAGTTTAACACAAAATAACATGGAATTTAGTGGTTTTTAAAGTTTTAATCACTTATCACAAATAAAGATTGAATCTTTAACACTTAGGAAGCCTCAAAACAAAAATTTTCACACTAAAAAGCAATTAGTTTGCAATTATGTGAAAATAAATCAACCTTTAAGCATCAAATACTACCAAGTAAGTGTGCTTTAAGGGGACTTAAAAATGCAGAAAATAATGCAAATAATCAACCACATAATCAACAAGTTATGCCATTAATTTCAAGGTTAGAAAAGACTTAAAATTTTTCGTCAAAAACGAAAAATCCCTCGAAAAAGGCATTTCTTGTCAAAATTTGGCTAAAATCACAGTTCCAAAAGGGTAAAAACCTTTCCAGAACACCTTTTCCACCAAAAATTCACTATGTTTGGGTGAAAATCTGGGTTCTGGGCCAAATTCGACTTTAAAAATGGGATTAAAATTAATAAAAAATCGAGCTACTAATCTAATTAGCAACTTAAACAAGAAAAATAAGCCAAAATAAACCTTGAAAAACATGATTATAAAAATAAACGAGCGGGGCTCCGATACCGCTGTTGGGGTTTGGTGAGTCCGACTCACCGCGGAAACAACCCCGACCCAAGGAACCACTCGTAATTAATAAAACCATAAAGCATAAATAAATAAACACAAGAAAAGGAAGAACGAATCATACCCTTGAAGCGAGCTTCGCCCTCTCAAAACGGGCTCTTACTTGAAAGCCTTGAGCACCGAAAATGTCGTGCCTCCAACGGTATCCACCCACAAAGGACGAACACGACTTTTTAGGTCCGCTACCTTGGAGTTAGCAAGGTCCGACCAAAACCCAAGTGTTAATGGAGTTTAAGAGTTTTTCCCAAAATATGGAATGCTCTTTCTAACTCCCACTCAAGCACTTTACTCCAAATCCCAAGGTTGGTATTTATAGAGGAAAGTATGAGTTGGAATTTCTATCCCACCAATGTGGGATTCATGAAATTCCACAAATTAATTTAAAGCTAAATTAAATTAAATATATAAGCAAGTAATAAATCAACAAGTGTCCTAGTCATATGTAAAGAGGAGTATGGACCACTTGGAGAGGAGGGGACCATACTTGCTCCCCACTCCTTCCTCTCCTTGTGACACTTGTCCACACCAAAAAGCAAGCATACTAACTAGCTTCCCCTTTCTACCCGACCTAGGCCCATGTCCCAGCTAGCCTCGCACCGTGCGGGCTGCTAGCTGCTGCCAGCTCGGCCCAGCACACCCACGCACATCAGTGCGGGCTGCTGATGCCGAGGGCGCTGCTAGCTAGCCACGCACATGTGCGGGCTGCTAGCAGCAGCGCACGCCAGCACGCCACGCACTGCTTGCGGGCTGCTGGCCGTGCTGTGCTAGCAAGCCTCGCACATGGTGCGAGCTGCTAGCCACGCCTTGCTAGCATGTCTCGCACATGGTGCGGGCTGCTTAGCTCGGCTGATCCCCTATTACTCGGGATTCCGATGCTAGGGGTATTTTGGTCATTGTTGATTTATTACTAATTTGTCGTCTCGTCTTTTTATTATTTTTTACTCGACTTCCGACGCTCGGTTTAGACGCTCTAAGCTCGAATTTTCGACGTCTAAATATTTAACACTCGGGCGTCGAATTAATTTCATCCGAATTAATTCGTCGAGTCGGTTCGTATATTTTGCTTGGGTGTGACCCGAAGGGTTCAGTGAAGATTAAGCTGTAATATTAATTATATTAATATTACTGATCGGAAGCGGCCTCCACCCAGGCATTCCGATCACTTAACCTTACTGAATATATTAGCTTTCTAATAATTCTGAACCCGCTATCAGAATAATACACTTGTTCGAAGGACACCATTCCTTTCAGACTATCCTAACACGTTGCACATAGTCACATAATCACATAAGCATGTTATAAGACAAGATTCACGCAATGCCATTCTTAGGTCAAAAAAGGCTTGGGTGTCCAAAGGTACCATACCTTAAGAAACGATGCATAAATCAATCACTCAACGTGTTGACCCATGACATCGCCCTTCCAACATTTTGTTGGTGATATGGGTGGGATGATTGTTATTGATTTTGGGATAGACGCCTAGTGTTGGCGACCCTAGTCAATGAGCCAATCCCCAATGGTTTAAGTGTGCTATGCTTATGCATGATGCAATGTTGCTTGTTTGGTTTTTACTTTTGTGCAAAAGGAAGATATTATGCGTTCAAGTCTCACTCTCTAACTAGAGATTATCCAAGTTAATTCTCGTTACAACCCATAGGCAACCTAGTGTTGGATACCTTGGACCATAACTACGATTTAATCATGTAACCTCTAAGTCCCCAATTGAGTCGCCACTGTAAGGAG